TAGTTTTGTATTGTTACAGTGTCAGTAATGTGTAAATGTTATCTGCATTCTGATATCCCATTTTTTTGTCAAGAAATTGACATAATTTTGCATCATCCTGCAAACTTTTGATGTATTTTTGTATCCTCGCTCAAACCCAGTGCATTGTGGGCATTCAAGTTTTCTTAACTTTTTGACAAAAGGCAATGATGTCCCAGCCATTTTTCTCTCTTTTCTCTAGTCATGTAGGACAAAGACTATAGAATACCCAAGACGCAGGGCCATGCACAGACATGTGCTGAAACTGAAAAAGGGCGCCCCCCCCCACCCCAATGACAAATGAAATAATTATTTGGTTAACATGTTTATGTATGTCATTGAGAAGAGGGTAAGGTAAAGCAATGAGTAAAGTATTTTTGCCGAAATATCATTTAAATAATTATGTCCAACACAATTCCAGTCAAAATAAGAGGTTATAAGAAACTATAGCTATACCGTTACTATAGCATATCCAACATGTATCCGCCTACCTGGTTAAAAACTTGATACTGTGTAGGATCAGGGATGTTGCTCTCTTGAAGGTCTCTTATTCACTATACTTTCCCTAAAATAAGCCAGCAATGAAACAATAAAATATTGTGAAAAGTACAGTTGCGGTGAAAAGTTTGAATTGTGCTAGAGCTCTTCTCTCAAGTGATCTGATTCTGTAATGTTTTTTTTTTTTTTAGTTACTACAACATTACTACGTTTATACATGTGAAGACGAGCGGAGAGTATATAATACTAGACTCAAAAATTTGCTAGCTAGCGAATACGTGCATATTAACAGCGTAAACATGCATTAGCCATGTGACCATATATTAGCCTATGATTAAATGTTAATAAATTAAGTGTATCAGCAATCATAAATCAAGGAAGACATTTCTTCTTATGATTTTTACCTAATGTAGTGAACAGATTCATTATAAAAACAGTGTCTTGTTACTAACTGGACATTTCTCAGATGGGGTGTCGATATTTCTTCAGCTCGAATTAATGAATAACAAGATGTTTTTTTACGAAATATAATGCACTTGGAATGTAGTGAAGACAAAGTAAAGGTTTCCCAAAATAAAACTACTCCAATAAAGTACAGATGTACTCAAAAAAGGTACTTAAGTACAGAAACAAAGTAAAAATACTTCATCCACCACTGTAACCAAGTAAACTTGTGATATTTCAAAAATGTTTATTGTGGTGGAAGTGACGGTTGTGATGTGTAAACATTGATTATAAATAAGTTTTGATATGAATTGATTGATGTGATTCAAAAATTGTAATGCTTATTTAAATATTTAGATTACCATACTTTCTTAAAAGTAATTTGAAAAGCAGCTAAATAAATAAAGGTTTTAAAATAACAAGTAATAAGTTAAATAAATAAAGTTTATTAGTAAATAACTGACGTTTCCAAGATAGATTTAATGTGACCATCATAAAAAGAGAACAGTATAGAAGTATAATATAAACAATAGAATAAAATATTGA